GAGGAGGAGAAAGAGGAGAAGGATGATGATGAGGAGGAAGAGGATGAGGATGAGGATGATGATGCTGATGCTGATGCTGATGCTGATGATGATGATGATGATGATGATGATGATGATGATGATGATGATGATGATGATGATGCTGCTGATGATGATGCTGATGCTGCTGCTGCTGATGATGATGATGAGGAGGAGGAGGAGGAGGAGGAGGAGGAGGAGGAGGAGGAAGAGGAGTTTTTGCTCGGTGCCCATATTATTCGACGACACGCAAGAGTGACCCTGGGCAAGAGTGACCTTTGGTGCGCGGCCTTTGGGCGCCGCGGGGGGACCAGACTCAGGCGCGCAGAGACGCTACCATCGCATCGCAATCGGTGATCGGGGGACCCCATTGTGCCCGCACCAGAGGCCACTCCAGCGAAAGGTCACTCTTGCGCGTAGTCGAATTATCCTGTGTTGCGCACTGGTCGCGCGGGCGTTGCCCGCAGCGTGCAATGTATGAAGCATGGCCCCCCGGCGTGGCTCGGCGGAACGCGGTCGTGCCTCAATCGGCCAGCCCTGCAGGCAGGTGAGGAGAGGGGAGGCAGGAGGTCAGAGCGAGGTAGGCTACGGCAGGTTCGTGCCGTGCCGACCCCGGCGTTGGTTCCTGGCACCGCGGGGATCCTTCAACCTGGAACGATCGGCCGCTTCCGAAAAGTCAGAGCCTTCGACACCGACCGTTTCTGGGCCGCCAGCGGCGCTCGACGTTGAACGCCGGCGGCGGGGTCACCGCCGGTCGACACGACGCGAACCTGCCGTAGCCGCGATCGTCCCCATCGCTGCCGCCGGGCAGAACGATGAGGCCCCCGACTTTTGCGTCCACTGCCAACGCCCCGAAGGGCTGAGGCATGGAGCAGCCTGGGGCGGTACCAATCCGCGGATCACAAGCCTCCCATGATCTGCTCAACTGGAAGGCTGTGGCGCTGTGGCGGATCACGCCCACCCTGCAAGGCTTGGCCGTACTGGCCACATGCCCACGGGAGCAAGAGCCGCAGGCCGAGCACAGAAGACAGGGCACCACGGGCCAAAGTCTGTGCCGGCTGCCCTCTGCCGTGCAGCGTGGAGGAAGACTGGAGGAAACGAGGCAACCGCGTAGGCACCGAGTGCATCGCAGGCGCCCCTGCGCTCGAACCACGCCGTCCGTGGGCGGCCGTCAGGCACTGGGTGGTCGGCCGGTGTGCCGCGCGGGGCCTCTGGCGTGCTCCTGCGGCGGCACAGGCCAAGCCCGCAGTAAGCGGCCGAGGTACCCGACTGCTGTCGCGACGAGCTGAACGGCTCGGTCCCCGCCCCCTTGGGGTGCATGGCCGCGCCACGCCGGGCCGCCTCATCCGTCGCCGCGGTTCCAGTGCGGAGGTAGCGGGCCTGGTCGGCCGCATCGCCGCCAGCAGTTCTGGCATGTCCTTTGCTGTTGCGGACCCGAGGCTCGAGCTCGAGATCTTCAAGGGCAGCCCAGATCGCAGACCAGAGATCGGCACCAGCACGACCTGAGTGCGTGGTCTCCCACCACCGCAAGTTTGGCAGAGGAGGTCACCACCCACAAGCAATCGGAAAAAAAAAGATCGCGCCAGCTCCCCGAGCACGAAGGCAGACCAACAGCGCACATCCTTCCGCAATCTCAGGAGGAGGAGGATGAGGAGGAGGAGGAGGAGGAAGAGGAGAAGGAGGAGGAGGAGGAGGAGGAGGAGGAGGAGGAGGAGGAGGAGGAGGAGGAGGAGGAGAGGATCGCCAAGATCGGGGGACTACAAAAAAGAATCGCGCCACCTCCCCGAACACAAAGGCAGGCTAGCAGCGCCCATCCTTCCGCAAGCTCGAAGTCCTGCACGTGGCCGAAAACCGGGCCGTGGGCGGCACACGCAAGGTTGCCCGTTCAAAGCCCACCTGCGCCAGCCCCAACCCCTGCCCAGCCTTAGCAGAGGACCGCCACGATCGGGGGGGAAGACGTGGAGCCCCCCCAAAAACTTCACCTCCTCCTCCTCCTCCGCCTCCTCCTCCTCCGCCTCCTCTTCCTCCGCCTCCTCCGCCTCCTCCTCCACCTCCTCCGCCTCCTCCTCCTCCTCCTCCTCCTTCGGATGCACGCTCCAGTGGACGGAGCACTGGAGTGCGGGTGGGGGCAAACACTTGCGCGGGTCAGGCACCAGCGCGTGCCGCCACAAGCTCCACTCCGGGTGCTGCTGCGCGGCCTGCCAGGCGCCGCTAGGGAGATCGCAGTCCCGGCGCCACATCTGCGTCGTAGGGCAGTCCAGCCAAGCTGACATGTCGGAGGGAATCCACGTCGACGTCGCAGTGCAGGCGCCCCTGTGAGGCCAGCATGCCAGCCGCGTGACGCCGCCCAGCGTCCCAGATACCGTTGCCGACGACGGCGCGCACCAGGCCCTGGCGTCGGCCATCCCAGTCCGCCATCTGCCGCCCTGTGGACAAGGTCCGCAGCGACTCCAAGTGGAGTTCGTGCGGTAGGTTCGGCGAG